CGGCCAAAACACCATTTTTGAGGAAGGGGCTCGGCCTTTTTTCTTGGGTAAAATATTGCGTGATTTTAGCATACTTTGGGAAAAAGGGGTCTCAAATTTAACACAAAATTTTAACAAGTTCTTCAAAATAAAATGCAAAAAGCTGTGGGAATGTTCTTCAAAATAGGACAGCAAAAGGCAATGGGAAATACTCATAATTCAGTTAAAGACCTCATTAAATTTTGTTCTAAATTCTATTGGAAATTTCAAAAGACTGGGGGATTTTGAGGACAAAAAGAGGCTAGTTTGGTTGGGGAAGCAGCCTTTTTTGGGCCACTACAAAGAAGGGTATTTTGGCCCTGAAATCTGACCTAATTATGGCTCCAAAAATAAAAAATTGAGAAGGAATTTATTTGACATACAGAGTATTCCTGAAAACAAAAGATTGACCTTATGTCACTACCATGTCACAGATTTAGATATAAGGAAACCTTGCTGCCTACATGTAACTTTTGGCAAATGTTATAGTTACTGACCTCTAAGCTTAAAATTATGATAACTGGCTGTCAATTATACTCGTATATGTAAGATTTGTAAATGTGATAAAAATGTAGCTACCAAAATTAAGTGGGATATAGTTAAGGCTTTTCTAAATATCCCATGCCGTACCATTGCCTGATTTGAAAATAAAATACAGGCACGCAATTTTCGCCGCGAAAAATTGGCTCAAAGTAAAAAATTGCCAGTGCTAGCCCTGGTGATATGATATGATATAAAAGTTAAATATGGTTGATCTTTACTAATGATAGTGAATATTTGAAGACCTACAGCCACCTGGCGACTGTAGCAGACAGTCAAACCTGGGTGAGATGAATTGTTAAATACATATACATGTACATGCACTTATACATAAACATGTATTATACATGTATATGTACATGTAGGTGATATTTCATTATACATTTATTATACACTGTACATGTATATGCAGGTAATAATTCATCATACATGTATTATACATTTATATGTAGGTAATAATTCATCTCAATTATGTTTGTCATTTTAGTGATTTTCCTAAATTTAGTGACCATTTACCTTGTTTTTGTCCCCCGCCTTTTCGAAGAAAAAAGGGGATATAGAAATAGGCTCCTTCCGTCTGTCCATCCGACCCGAAAAATAGGTACTATGGAGGCCATGAGAACAATAGGTAACAGTAAATTTCTTTTGATGTCATTCATTAAGTTTTGGGTTTATGTGGCTTATTGGGATTAAAAGGCTATTTAGAACAATAGAGAATACAATGGGATAGTCACTTAAGTACCAATTTATAAGAACGTCCGTCTGTCTGTCCGTCACACTTTTGTGTCCAGTCCATAACTTTGTCATTTATCAAAGGAATTTGAAATAAAGTGGCACAACCAGACCCCTACTTCCAGGGTCAAGGTCGCACTTCAAGCTTCATTCAAGATATTGTTGTCCCGATTGTCTCTGAAAATCGATAACTATTCGGACCACCCCAAAATCGGCAACAATCGATAGTCCTTTTTAAAAATCGATTATTTTAATGTTCTACCACCGCTGAATTGCCTGGGGCGTAACTAGTATTAGGTAAGTAGTACTAGGTATTTGTGTTGTTTGTTTTGAATTCAAAGAGCAAATCATACTTTAATCTTGGAGACAAGAGTTTATTTATTCTCAAAATGTGGTCACTACAGTATATAAAAATACAGACAAGGATTGGTACCTTAAAAGAAAAAAGGGCCATAATAAGTGCGAAACTCGATTATACTATCGGCAGACAATCGATTGTGGTGGTCCGATTATCGATAGTGATTTTTGAGTCCGATACCCAACACTAATTCAAGGTCAACATTATCTATTTGAGGGTGTATGTTGTGTCCGGTCCATAACTTTCTTATCCCTGAAGGGATTTTGTAAATACTTGCCACAATTGTTCACAATAATGAGAGGATGTGTCATGCACAACAACCAGTCACCTACCTCCAAGGTCAAGGTCACACTTGGAGGTCAAAAATTAACATAGTCTGTTATACATTTTACAGGGTACATTTTGTGTCCGGTCCATAACTTTTTCATAGATCAAAGGATTTTAAAAATACATGCCACAAATAGTCACTATAATAAGATTAAGACGATGTGTTATGCACATCACCTGCCTCCCTACCTCCAAGGTCAAGGTCACACTTAGAGGTCAAAAATAAACATAGTCTGTTAAATGGTATATTTTGTGTCCGATCATCATAGTTTAAGGGATTTTGAAATAACTTGGCACAAATAGTCACAATAATAAGACGATATGTCATGCACAACACCTGCACCCCTACCTCCAAGGTCAAGGTCAACCTTAGAGGTCAAAGAATAACAGAATCTGTTATATGGTATATTTTGTGTCTCATCCATCTTCTTCATATATCAAGGCATTTTGAAAATACTTGGCACAAAGAGTCACAATGATAAGATGTTTTGTCATGCACAACACCTGTGTCCCTACCTCCAAGGTCAAGGTCACACTTAGAGGTCAAAGATTTATATAGTCTGTTATAGGAATATTTTGTGTCCAGTCCATAAACTTCTTCATAAATCAAGGGATTTTAAAAAATACTTTTGCACAAAATTTCACAATAATAAGACAATATGTCAGACCTCCAAGGCTCCACTTATTGGTCAAAGATTAACATTAATCTTTTTTAGGGTATATTTTGTGTCCGATCTTATTACTTCTTTCATTTTCAAGGATTTTTGGACACTTAGGCATTCATAGTTTACAATTTATAAGACGATATGTCATGCACAACACCTGCCACCCCTACTCCAAAGGTCAAGGTCACACTTAGAGGTCAAAGCTTAACATGCATAGATTTTTTAAATTCTGTGTTTCATTTTTATTTCCTTAATAAATTTATTGTTGCATTTGCAGATCTAGCATTGATCATAATTTTGGACTGAAAGTCCTGAGACCCATACCTCAATCTTTTGAAATAGCACGATTTTATGCTTCATATAAAACTTCCCTGAAGCGGGGGACGTTGGTAATTCTGTTGAAAATTCTTGTTTTTTTTTACCATTGGCCACTAAGTAGCAGGCAGATATTCATATAAATTAACACAATTAAACAGTACCAACAAAAAAATACAAGTTTTACTATCTTTATAAGAATAGTTAGTACCTGAAAGTTCAAGACAAAAGATTAAATAAAATTTTGATTTTTTTTCAGAGCTGATATTGAAAGAAAGAAAGAAGATTTAAGGACCATGGTTGGGTAAGAAATTTGTAACATTTCTACGTTATAGCGACTTATTTCACCAATATTTGTATTTCATCTTATGGTTGGTAGCTCTGATGTTATTTTTAAAAAGCCTCATGTAGTGTTTTACCTAACTGATTAAGATATAATATAAAAGTGTTATTTAGAATTAAAGAACTATTGTCACACTATTGATAAAAACACATTAGTGTTTCACCCTTTAAATGCCACCTGGCGTAAAATTCCAACCCTTTAGTCTAAAATATACATCTTAATTAATGCACAAGAGAATCATTGTGTCAACAGTACACTGCTAGAGAAACTATTATTTATTCCATGGAATTTATGTAATGGATTTGCCGAGCTTTGAATTTGGAACTGTCCATTCATCATTTAAGGGATTTCAATATCAGAACACAGCAGGTTTAATTTAGTAAGATGCACAGATCTTAAATTTAAACATTGAAATCAGTTTTGGTAGTTGGACATTTGCATAGTCAAGAGCAAAATAAGTCCAGTGCTTGCATTCAATAAGATAAGGTTCTGTGCAGATGAAAAATGTAACTTAAGTTTCCTCCTAATGTATTTTGGTTAAGACAAGAAAAAATTATCATTGTTTAATGTTTATATATATATGGTGGCTATCAGTTTTCCTCCGGTAGGACATTTACTTTGGGATATTAATGTCCCAGGTTTAAGTCTTACTGTTTACAATGTAACAAGTACTTTACTCAATATTGCTCCACTTCTGACATTATCTAGGTTTCATGGATATTTATGAAGGTTCTTTAATTCTATGACACTATAGTGCAAGTTAAACATGATGTCATAATGGGGGCTGCTAACAGTAAGACTGCAGGGAGATTGAAAGTTAAATTTTATTTATCCATTGACGATATAATAAGCTATACAGTCAGTGAGTGAGCAAATGTGCATTGAACTTTAAGTATTTAACACATGAACTAAAACTTTTGTTTTTGCTTTGTATTTATACACAGTGAGAGGTACAGGGACTTGATAGAAGCAGCTGATACCATTGCTGAGATGAAAAATAGTGCAGAAAAAGTAAGTCTTCCTGTTTCACAGTTTATAATCCTAGTTATATTAGTAACTACGGAGAAATTAATAAACCTGACATCTTAACAACTATAGGAAAGAGATAAAATGATTTTGGCTAGGTCTGTGATGAAAACTTGAAGCTAAACTTGACCTCTCTGGAGTCCATTTTGCTGAAACTATGCAGAACTAGTGTCTTAGAAACATAGTTGTAACCCATGTAGGGCTCAAACCTGTGATCACTTGGTGGAGAGGCAGACCCCTTAACCACTAGGTCACTGCTGTCCAATACATTAAAAGATGTAGCAAAGAAGAAAACACTGGGCATAGGGACTTTCATGGTATCATTAAAATGTTAGTATAATGTCACATGAAATAGATTTTTTCTGAAGCAATAGTTGGTAATGTGTTAGTTTCATGCATAAGCTGTAGGTTATGAAATAGGATAAAAAATAGGTTTGTTTTGTGTAATTAAAATAAGTTTGTGTTTATTAAATTTTCCTTGTTTGGAAATGTGAATTTTTTTGATATTTTCATTGGCATTTTGTGCACTTAAAATATTTTAACAAAAGCTCTTTTTTTTCAAAGCGGAATATATTTCATAATTGACTCAAAACAAACAAACATTCTCAATTTTACCCTGAAATATGTACATTAAATATGGAATTGCCTGCAAGTTTACAAAAATGATTTTGATTAAAGGTGATGTCAACAATAGGAAGGATTGAGACGCTCTGTACAGAGTTGAAACACAACCAAATGGTGAAAAGTTCTTCTCATCAGCAGAAAAAGAAACAGGAAATAGAAATAAGGTACATTACATATAATTGTGAGGTGTTTAGTTTTCTTATTATATCCTAGGATGAATTTTTGCATCCAAGTTTAATTTGAAGTTAGGGATGAGTCGTGTAAATTGTCAATAGAACTTGTGCTTTGTGTTTGATGTAAAGGTTATTAATGGACTTGATATTACAAAAGTTTGCATGTCTGTTAATTAAAACCGCCTCCTTGGTTGAGGGGTTAGAGTCGATGACTTCTAATCCAGTTACTTCTCTGGCGTGGGTTTGATCCCATGGAGATGCTTTGGTAGTTTAGCACAGAGGAAGGTAGTCTAGTACTGGTGTAACTCTCCAGGAACGATGGTTAGGAAACTACCCACCTATATGAGTGAAATACTGTTAGGAAAAGGCGTAAAATGAAACAAACAAACAAACAGACTGTTTGTTAATGCCATCTTCGAGATTTATTTAATGTGATGTCTTTGTGGCCAAATTATATAAGTCACCATTTTCATTCACATTGCAATGATCACTAAGGGTCTAAATGCCTCCAGAGATTTTGATTTGTTCATGTGAAGAAACTGTTTAGCAAACTGTCTAGCAAATTTGTAAGAGGTCAGTGGTTTTATTCAGGTTTCTGATCTTGAAAGAAATGATATGAAGGAGAGCTATTTTAATCACCAAGGTGTTAGTGAGGGAATCAACTTCACACTTTGGTTGATTTTTGCAAGTTGGTATCACCAAAACTACTGACAGGAATCACTTAGAACTTCACACACATTTAAGAGTATGATAGATCACTGTCCAAGGCCTATAACTTTGACATAAATTTTGACCAAATTATTGCCCTTTTTGAAATTAGAAAGTTCTACATTATCCAGGCTCTTGTTTTACTATCCAGTACTGAAAATAGTCAAACATACATCCTACTGAAAGCTCATTTTTTAATTATCATGCTAGCATTTTCCATTTCAGTGTTTTTATTTACAGTTTTTTATTATGATTTGTTTTTATTAAACTTTAGAAGGAAGGAAGAAGCGAAGTTTCACGAGGTTGCCTCACAAATTAAACTTCTACTAGATATCCCAGAGAAGGTAGGGCTTGTTGACTCCACTTGGTAATGTTAATCTTACATCATTAGTTTTCGACATTTTTACATCAACTCCTGCCATTTAAATTTCAAAAGTTAAGTGTTGTAGTCAAAAGAAAATTGAAACACCCCATCCTTGTTTGTTTATAAAAAAAAAACCCTCGTTTATGCACATGTCAGTAAATTGTCTAAATATAGAACATTTTCAGAATTGTTTATGCACATGTCAGTAAATTGTTTAAATGTAGAACATCTTGAGGATCGTTTATTCACATGTCAATAAATTGACTAAATATAGAACATTTTCAGGATCATTTATGCACATGTCAGTATATTGTGTAAATATAGAAGCTTAATAGATTACTTTGAAACATTTCTTTATGATCTTTTATCATATAATGGTATCATTTTACAGATGTGGACATGTCTAGACTGTGAGGACTATTTATCAGCCAGCAGACTGTATCTTCTAGCTCAACATATCAATACCAGTCTACAGCTCACCTCCCAGAATGCTCCCAACTTCCTGTACTGGTTCCCTGTGCTCAATAGACAGTGGGCGGCCATCAGTCACTTTAAGATAACCATACTGCAGGTATATAAATTGAATGAATATTAAGGTAAAAATTGAACAAATTATATTAAAAATGAAGTTTTTTAATGAGCATTTCAACTAAATATGTAGAATGTATAGTATCTTAGGCAGATCATTAATTTAGAAAACTTTAGACTTTGTGTTGTGCCATTTTCAAGAAGTAGAAAATACTCAAATTGTTTAGTTAAAAAAGACTTCAACTTGCCATGAATGTAAACTTTTGGCAATTTTGAAATAACACTCACATGTCACGAGGAAGCGGCAGTTATGATTGGAGTTATAATAAGGATAAATAAGGTAAATATTTTAACAGCATGACCATATTTTAAGTACATGTAAATGTTTTATATATTGCAGGGTTGTAGAAGACTGATAAAAGAGACCACAGTATCTGATCAGGTTTTCTCAATTTAACTTTGAAGTAACTTAAGTATATTTGCTATACTGACAAATTACAATTACAGAAAATCTTTCTTGCTTAGAGATGTTTTAAAATGGTGTTGTTAGATTTGGTATGTTGCCTTAATTAAATCATCACCAATTTTAGCCATATGCAGTATGCATCCTTGAGAGTTTACAAATAAACCTAAGTATTAAAAATAATAGTTAATTTTACAGAAAATAGCTGACAGTTTGTGTTCGATTTTGTTGCTGGAGAACTCTAATCCTAGACAAGTGTTTAATGAATTCCTCCTAGCTAGAACAGTAAGTATTCATTCTTAAACTTTTTTTGGATTAATTGAAAGCTTCTGAACTAATACTATATCTCTTTGTTTTATGTGCCTGAAATAATGTATGACGGGACACCTGAAGTCTTCCTCCACCAGCAAAGCTAGGAAGTTGCCTTCTGACATTTACAGTTTCTGTGTGACTAAAAACTCAACTAAAAATATGTTTATAGAACATGGATGCCCTAACATTCCACTACCTTGTCAGTCTGCAAACATACAGCAGGATGAATGAACAGGGGAGATTCAATATGCCCCCACTAAAGTAAATATTGGGGGCTTAAAAAAATAATAAAATACACTTATTCTGAAAATAACAAAATATACACAACCTGAATGTATATATTAACTGCTCCTTTCCTCCATCTCTCACTTATTCTTTCTATTCTCCTATGCTACTTTTAGTAAGCATCTAGTGTTGAACTTGATTGATATTGTGTTTTTTTTTATAAAAAAAGGTTTTTATTTGTTAGAAATCCCAACTTTTAAATACACTTTTTATTATGAAAATTTCGGGGTTCTGCTAAACAATTTTTTAAATAAAAACGGGTGATTCACTGGGAACAAAGGAAACAGATTTTTTACAGTTTTGTTCGGGTTGAAAAAATTAAACCATACATAAATCTTTTCCCGTGTTTTTTTAAGGAAAAACAAAGATCCCCGGGGGTGATGCCCCAAGGTACACTGATTATTGCTTTTTTGTTCCCAAACAAATATTTTGATGAAATCAATTACAAAAGTTATAAGAAATTTATTTTAAGACCTTGTGTCATTGTTTGAATATACCACGATAGTTTTTTGACCTAGGTCTCAGGACATGCCCTGTATTTTTTAAAGCAGAGGGGCATCAGAAAAGAGTCCATAACCTTAAATCATAGAGTCACCACAGTTAAATAAATATTAAACAATGTTTTAACAATTGGTAATTAGAGCACTTTTGAAATTTGAATTTTTTTTTAATGCATAAATCTAGAGGCATGCTACTTTAATAAAAAAAGTCTATTCTTTCATATACAGTGTCATAGGATCATAGCAAGAAATTCTATGCAGAAATAAGTCTTTATAAGAACAATGTTAATGTTTTTTTCAGAATGCACAAATCTGTTGTTGAGAACCCTCACAAAAGTGACCACACAGAAACAACATGGTGAGTAATATTAGTTTGCTGTAACAACACTGAATCAATGCAATGGATACTTCTATATGCAACCTATATAATGTCAAGCCATCCATAAAGTAGAGCAACACTCAATATTCTTTAATGCCCAGTTTTAGTTTATTATTTTATTGATGGAAATCTATAATATATAAATGGCCAGTTCAGATTTTAAAGATCTACTAATACAGCAATTGTAAGGGATAGATAAAGCACATGAATGTTTAACTATGATTTCCTTCATGACTCGATGTGATTGTAGACCATTGATTATGGTGAGTAACTAGAGCCATCCAATCCAGCAGAAAAATATACTTGTATTGTTTTCATTTTACTATGAGAACTATTACTCCAAATGAAAAAAAAAACTACACGAGTGTTTTTAATGACATGCATATTACTAAGTAGTATGAACTCAAGTAATGCATTATACATAGTATGAAATAAGGCAAATCAATTTGATAGGTATTATTTATCCATTGAAAATGACTGTATGTGACCAAGATTCAACACTATTACAGGAATAATTTATTTTATAATTCAAATAAAAGCTTAAAAACAAGGATATGCAAAAATCTCTTTGTTCAAATATATGAAAGATTTAGCTAAGCTCTAGGTAGGGTCTGGCATCTATTTATATGTTTTTAGCATGCATATAGATAATTGACATTGTAACAAAATAGGCTCAGTGGTATCATTTAATAACCAAGGATAACATATAATCTGGTATGTTTTCAGAGAGTGGTTTACTAGATTTACACAGCTCTGTCTCCGCTAGATGCTTACCAACATCTGTTACAGGTAAAATTCTTCATTTTTCGTTACAGAATTTACTGTAAATTTATAGGACTTTCACTCAGAGGGGCACATAATGTATGTCTCTTTCAGTATTTTAGGAGAATTGCCACATGACCTCTAAGCTATCACTTGGGAAATATGTAAAATAAATAACAAAAGCTGTACTTTCATATTGGTAAATGGTTATATCTCAAAATGTTTTAACAAAGAGGGTCTCTGTCTGTTTTAAATGCTTGGATATTTCAAGAAAATGGCATAAAACATAACTCTGTGATGATTCCTCATGCACACTGCCTGCTTGTCAGGAAAATCTACAAATATCATTCTTCCAATTTAGATACTTTGGTATGTTCATGATGACAATACCAAGAAATGTTTTCCCCCCAAATAGCTTTTTACCAACTAAATTTTCATGTGATGTCATCTTTGTAGACTGAATACATTATGTTTAATGTAAATATTTGACAAAAATTATAATAATGTAAATTATATTGTCATTTATTTACTGTTTAAAGTAACTTAAATCTGGTGAATTTCTTAAATGTACAGGGCTAGGTTCCATTTTTGAAATTGTTCATTTCATTATCAATTTTGTGGGAATCACGATGAAAATTAAAAATAAGTCGGCCATCAATATAGATGCTCATCAGACTGCATAAACATCCAGGTCAGCCTGGCTCTATATTTGTGTCAAAAGTTATTCATGTTTAGTTCCAGCAAGGTAAGGGTTAAGATAGTTATGTTTATATTTACAGATTTTTGTCCCAGTCATAAATCTGTCTCACTGGGTGTATCACAGCAGCATCTCCATGACAACTGTACGCAGTGGATACAAACGTTAGTATCTCCTTTATTTTATTATATGCCCAAAAGAATTTCGGGGATATTATGTTATATCCCCTGGCGTCCGTCTGTCCATCTGTTAGCAATTTGGTTTCCGGAGCATAACTTAAGTTCCATGTGGCCCACAGTATTCAAACTTCATAGGATGATTGTCCATATTGAGTAGAAGACCCCTATTGATTTTGGGGTCATTAGGTCAAAGGTCAAGGTCAGTATTACTTTAAAACTGAAAACAGTTTCCGAAGCATAACTTAATCTTTGTGGCCCACAGTGTTCAAACTATGATTGTCCATTTTCGGTAGAAGACCCCAATTGATTTTGGGGTCACAAGGTCAGAGATCAAGGTCACTATTACTTTAAAACTGAAAAAAGTTTCCGAAGCATAACTTAAGTTCCATTTGGTCCACACTGTTCAAACTTCATAATATGATTGTCCATATTGGGTAGAACACCCCTATTGATTTTGGGGTCACAATGTCAAAAGTCAAGGTCACTATTACCTAAAAACTGAAAACAGTTTCCGGAACATAACTTAAGTTCCATTTGGCCCTCAGTGTTCAAACTTCATAGGATGATCGTCCATATTGGGTAGAACACCCCTATTGATTTTGGGGTCACAAGGTCAAAGATAAAGGTCACTATTACTATAAAACGGAAAACAGTTTCCGGAGCATAACTTATGTTCCATTTGGCCAACAATATTCAAACTTCATAGGAGGATTGCTATTTAAAGGAGGTAATACTAAATTTAATTCCCATGTTTTGCAAATCCTTCATCCTTACTAAAAAAAAACACACTTTTGGGCATATAATACTCCGCCTGGCGGTGCTCTTGTATATACTGTTATAATATAAAATGTACTGGTCCATGATTGGAGGTCTATAATACCATTAATAATTAAGTTGATAGTATCTAGTATCATACATATCAACAAACCAGGAAAGAACTTTATATATAAATGTAGTTGAAAAGTGTGAGATACATGATCTGATATTATATCTCCATAAAGCAAGAACAAAAATTATATATCATGTAAAATGTTCATACTAAATCATTTAGAAGTCTGTCAATTTTTGTTTTCAAGAAATATTTTATAGAAATATCAAAATGATACTGTGATGTTGTTTTTATCAATATTTGAAATACTTATGGAAAATGTATCTTTGTAGACCAGTACACTTGAAAATTACTCATAGATGTATATAGTGTTGTTAAAAAATTACTTTTAATCTTTTTTTGAAACTATCTTGCTAAATTACTTGTTGCATGATATTTTGTAGGTGTATAAATGATGTGAAGTCCGGTGTTACTACACTATTGAATTTTGTAAACACTGTGAAACATCTTGCCTCTATCAGAGATACAGTGTGGGAGCTTATGTCACAGGTTTGTTAACAGTACTTTTTTGTTTGGCCTATAAATATCATGTTTCATAAATTATAACAATTTTGATTGAATTATTTGAAGTATTAACATTCATGCTGCTTAATTTGGAAAATGGAATCTTGATGCTTTAAAATGAGAACTTTCAATTTTTAGTGGTACATGTATTAAAATTCTAAAATTAGACAGATGCCAACTGCATGGAGTTGATAATTGAACTGCACACTTGTGTTATATGCTGTTTGAAATTATCTACCATTTTTATTGACGTATTACAAGAAGTTGTTTGACAGGCTCATAAAAAAACATGTTATTTGACCAGACATTGAATTATTCAAATTAGTAAGCAGAATCTTTTTTGTTGGATCAGTTCAGTAAAAGAGCAATATAAATTGATAAAGTGTAATTAATGTATTTATATATTGATACAGGATATGAGTTTGAAGGATTGGACAGTTGTATGTGAAAGTGTCCTCAGTAATTCTCTACATATCTGGGATGATCTTCTACGCCCACTCTTTGTTGACAGAGTCAAGGTATGTTTTTCTATTTTTAAATGTATACTATCTTCAAAACCATCTTAGACGTTCTTTGGAAGATTTTGGCAGGTTGTGCTGTTATTAAGCATTTTTCAATAAAGATTATAGGGCCTTATTTGTAATGGAAATATCTAGGTTGGTGAATGAATTTTTTAATGGTATTAGTAGTTAATAATTCAGTTTTCCAATCTCTACTTGCCCCTTACTTCTTTAGGTTTGAATGTCATAAGGAACTTTGGATTCTTTTATATGCTACAGGCTAGCATAGGGAAGATCATGTTCTACTAATTTGTCCCATCATGTGGGATATTAGCATTAAGTAGTACATGCCAGTAAAGCTGGAAAGAAACTTAATGCCATTTACAGTGTTGATATAATTATGCCCCCATTTTGAAAAAAAGGGGGTATATTGCTTTGCACTTGTCGGTCCGTCGGTCCGTCGGTCCGTAGACCAAATGGTTTCCGAGTGATAACTAAAGAACCCTTAGGCCTAGGAACTTCAAACTTGGTATGGTGATTGGTCATGACCAGTAGATGACCCCTATTGATTTTGGGGTCAAGGGGTCAAAGGTCAAGGTCACATTGACCTTGAAAGCAAAAACGGTTTCCGATCAATAACTAAAGAACCTTAAGGCCTAGGAACTTCAAACTTGGTATGGTGATTGGTCATGACCAGTAGATGACCCCTATTGATTTTGGGGTCAAGGGGTCAAAGGTCAAGGTCACATTGACCTTGAAAGCAAAAACGGTTTCCGATCAATAACTAAAGAACCTTAAGGCCTAGGAACTTCAAACTTGGTATGGTGATTGGTCATGACCAGTAGATGACCCCTATTGATTTTGGGGTCAAGGGGTCAAAGGTCAAGGTCACATTGTCCTTGAAAGCAAAAACGGTTTCCGATCAATAACTAAAGAACCTTAAGGCCTAGGAACTTCAAACTTGGTATGGTGATTGGTCATGACCAGTAGATGACCCCTATTGATTTTGGGGTCAAGGGGTCAAAGGTCAAGGTCACATTGACCTTGAAAGCAAAAACGGTTTCCGATCAATAACTAAAGAACCTTAAGGCCTAGGAACTTCAAACTTGGTATGGTGATTGGTCATGACCAGTTGATGACCCCTATTGATTTTGGGGTCAAGGGGTCAAAGGTCAAGGTCACATTGACCTTGTAGGCAAAAACGGTTTCCGATCAATACCTAAAGAACCTTAAGGCTTAGGAACTTCAAACTTGGTATGGTGATTGGTCATGATCAGTAGATGACCCCTATTGATTTTGGGGTCAAGGGGTCAAAGGTCAAGGTCACATTGACCTTGTAGGCAAAAACGGTTTCCGATCAATAACTAAAGAACCTTAAGGCCTAGGAACTTCAAACTTGGTATGGTGATTGGTCATGATCAGTAGATGACCCCTATTGATTTTGGGGTCAAGGGGTCAAAGGTCAAGGTCACATTGACCTTGAAAGCAAAAACGGTTTCCGGTCAATAACTAAAGAACCTTAAGGCCTAGGAACTTCAAACTTGGTATGGTGATTGGTCATGACCAGTTGATGACCCCTATTGATTTTGGGGTCAAGGGGTCAAAGGTCAAGGTCACATTGACCTTGTAGGTAAAAACGGTTTCCGATCAATACCTAAAGAACCTTAAGGCTTAGGAACATCAAACTTGGTATGGTGATTGGTCATGATCAGTAGATGACCCCTATTGATTTTGGGTCAAGGGGTCAAAGGTCAAGGTCACATTGACCTTGTAGGTAAAAACGGTTTCCGATCAATAACTAAAGAACCTTAAGGCCTAGGAACTTCAAACTTGGTATGGTGATTGGTCATGATCAGTAGATGACCCGTATAGATTTTGGGGTCAAGGGGTCAAAGGTCAAGGTCACATTGACCTTTTAATTAAAAACGGTTTCTGATCAATAACAAAAGAACCCTTAGGCCTAGGAACTTCAAACTTGGTATGGTGATTTGTCATGACCAGCAGATTACTCCTATTGATTTTGGGATCAAGGGGTCAAAGGTCAAGGTCACAATGACCTTGTAAGTAAAAACGGTTTCTGATCAATAACTAAAGAATGCTTCGTCCTAGAAACTTCAAACTTGGCATGGTGATTGGTCATTCCCAGCAGATGACCCCTATTGATTTTGGGGTCAAAGGTCAAGGTCACATTGACCTTGTATGTTAAAACGGTTTCCGATCAATAATAAGAGAACCCTTAGGCCTAAGAACTTCAAACTTGGCATGGTGATTGGTCATGACCAGCAGATGACCCCTATTGATTTTGGGGTCAAGGGGTCAAAGGTCAAGGTCACATTGACCTTGTAGGTAAAAACGGTTTCTGATCAATTTACTAAAAACGCCTAGGCCTAGGAACTTCAAACTTTGTTTGATGATTGGTCGTGACCAGCAGATGACCCCTATTGAGTTTTGGGTCAAGGGGTCAAAGGTCAAGGTCATGACCAGTAGATACTTTATAACCCTTATTAATTGTTTGATCACTGGGTCAGAAGTCGTGCATAATAACCTTATCACATGACTAATTGGCTGCTGATAGGGGGCATACATGTTTTACAAACATATCTTGTTTAAACATTGAAGAAGGAAATGATGGAAACAGAATTACACTGTTTAGATAATGAAAGTTTACACTTATATGTTATTATATTAGTTCAAAAACTAAAATTAGAGAAAAAAGAATACAGATCTTTGACTTTCTCTGTTGGAAAATCTTCTTGTGCTCAAAGGTTGTATGGAATAATAACATACAATTCAGATGACTTTATATAAACTAGACATTATAGTTTGTGGTATGTTATTTTAGGCTCTGATAAAATATCAGTTGGAAGCTACAGTTGAGATCACAGAAAGACAAATGAATAAAGTTATCGTAGAACTAGATGATGAAAATAGCAGGTAAATTATAGTTATATCTGTAGATTTATATCCTGACAGTTATCATTTATATTTGAACTTATAATGTAGCATATTTCTATTTAATTGTCACATATGCTGTTTCATCAACATTCAAAGTAAAGTTATGCTATAATTAAATTATATCTGACAATATAGTGATAAGTTCACTGTAAATATTCAGTGTAGATTTATACATATACTGTAGTACTGAAAGCATGCAATGACTTCACTATAATTTACTGCTAGAAACATTGTATAATTTTTAAAGCAAATAAACTGTATAGTATTGTATATAATAAAAAATGATGTTGTAATTTATTTTACAGCCTACTTAAGTTTTTGCTACACTGAAACTGTATTTGATAATTTCAATTACAACTACAGTCGAATCGGCTTATAAAGAACTCAATGGGATATTTTAATATCGTCCGTTATATCCGAAGTTCGCTAAAAGCGAAGTAGCAACAACTTGCTGACTTGTTTGGTTGGTAAATTTGCTGTGAAAAAGGCATACCTGTCACTGGTTACCGGTATAAACGTTATTTTATGGCAGTGGAAATTTAATGCGGGTCATTTAATTGAACAATATATTATGTACATGTATTTAGACATGTAGTTCTTGTCTATAAAGTGCTTACCATTTGTATTCTATTACTATTTGTTTGTTATTGTTTGGTTAATATTGCAAACAAAAAATCAGTTATTTGGTAATTATCAGGTATTTACAGCAATTTATCAACTGAGGGTGCGAAATACAAATTTTCCGTAACAAGTAGGAACTTATGCTGTGAGAACATTTTATCAAAATCTTTATTCTTACCTGTGCAATCACTCGATTGAATAATTATCGGATGGTGGTATTCATGTACTGATCTTAATCGAGAGCATCCCAATATTTCAATTATAACAGTTTGTTTCATCGAGGAAATTTACATCTTTTTCGCGGTTTGAGACTTGAAAAAATGATTTGCTATAGCCGAACATTCGTATTAAGCGAATACGTATTAAGCAATGTGATTTAATATAAGATAAAGAAGGAATTGGCCGGGAATGTCAGATTTAGTTTGTTATTAACGACAATTCGTTATAATAAGTGGAGTCGACTGTATGTGTAAAATACGTCACTTCAAAGCATGTTATAATGTTTACGATAAGTATTTGTTAAAATTATTTTTCTATGATTACAGCCGACTATGTGTTGATACAGATCTGGCCGGATATATCTGGTCAGAGAGTCCAGGAGACATAGCTGCTAACACTGCCTGGGGTATGGCAGGGTCAAGGTCATTGCTAGAGAGTGGAGGTCTGATGATGAAAGCAAAGGCTTATACTCCTATTGTACAAACGTAAATATTTTATTCTTCCTCACATTGTACGAGTGTACAAAGGTTATAGATTTCTCTCATATTTAACATGAAATATCATATATGAAAATTTAGATGATTTGGCATAATTAAATGTATGTGTCTGAGTATATATGTTTTCTTTTAGGTAAAGACATGATCAAATTTAGACTTATCATGTTTATTTCAACATTTGATGAACTACAAACAAATGTTTTCATGATCTCTTTTTGATCATTAGAGGATGTTTATTGTTTTGTGTCATTTTAGTCTGTCTGTCAATATCATCCTTGGTTATAAAATCAACATTTTATGCTCCCAGCTTAGAACTGTCTTTAAATTTGTACATCAGCATGACTATTTTGACATATAAGATTTAAGTTCTTCATGTACAAATTACTTCCTCGTAACACATTAATTAATTCATAGTCATGAACCTGGTTAAAAAAAAAGAGTCATATTTACTTGTTATTTTTAGCTGTTGTTTTTCCTAGATGCATATCCAGAAAAGTGTATTTAGCATATTTTTGAAAGATATATCTCGGTTTAAGTACGATTCAGTCATACTTCTTCAAAAGAGCATCAGCTTGATATTTCAAAATATGACCTTAACACCTGAATAAGTTTGACCTTGGAATTCAAATTTTCATATTCATGAAATTTATCAATGAAACTGCTATTTATATATAGATTTTGCCTAAGGAAATATGGAACTTTACAAACCTTCCTTTTTTAAGGTAAAATTTTTTTTGCTTGATGTGCTTTTCAGTTTCTGTAAGACGTTTGACGAGAAACTAGACGCTGTCAGTGAGGATTACAAGTTCTACATCTTCACAGATGCCGAGACAATGAGTGTTGCCATGGAAACGACACCATTCAACAGATTCTCTGATTCTACTAGCTTGCTGACATTTGTACAGACATCATGTATGGAATGTGTACAAGGGTAAGTTAGCAACCAGTCTTTTTTTTGTTGTGTATACTTTACCAAAGTATTTTTGAACCAGTCTATGTATTAATGAATTGAGTTATTTGACAAATGTTTAATCTTAGAGTTTTACATTTCTCTGATTTTTCAAGCATAGATACACTTTTTCATAATATATCAATTCAATAACTTTATTTAGTGATATACATTACATTTTCAAAGAATAGTTTGGCTGTCATACTCACTGGATGCATTGGCTTAGATCTTGACCCAATTATTACCCTTAGTGGTCTGCTCTTGTAAAATTTCTGATGAAAGTTTTTCATGATATATTGATTGACTTAATTTGAAACTTCATACATTTCTTTTAGATCATAATTGTAGGTGAATATAAAAGATACATAACACTAGTCTGGATTTGGAGCTAATTAATTGCCCTTTTGAACTAATTTATTATAACTCTGTCCCTGTTGTGAATTCTTACATTATTCAGGTTTAGCACTGAGTATAGTCAATCATGGTGTCATCCTACTGGAAGTTCTTGTTTTTAAATTCATTTGAATATTCAAGAGAGCTTTTACAATGAAACTGTCTCCTTACTATCATTGTGCCACAATTTTGATTTCTCACAGGTAACTCTGTCTATGATACCAGTTCCCTTGACTCCCTTTACTGCCAGATTTTTGATATTGTAATTGAAACCTTGAAAGGTAACTATTATAAACATTTCTTCCATTAAAAATGTGTTATTAATTCATTCAAACTATTTGAGAGAAAATATGTTTAATTTGTTACAGAATTTTAGAGTTTCTAACCAAGTTACTGGATGACTGCAGGGCTGATTTATCTTCATCAAAGCTAAGATGTTCAAATATTGGTAACAAGTAAGTCAAACTTTTGTAGTAAATAACATTCTTGATATGATTACATTCAATTTTTGTTGTCTTGACCCAAACTTTTCAGAATGTCATTTAAACATATATAAAAAGTCCTAATTTTTTGCCTTTTTGTTATTTACATGACTGTATGATTTTGTGAACTTTTTATCTGTAATTTACTAGTATTTAAAGGTAAAATTTCAGCCCCAAGATTAATTTTGCATTTCAATACCTATAACATCCTTTTTATAGTAGTCCAAAAAATGAGACAATAGTTAACTGGATATTTGTATGAAGAGATTTTGGATTTCTGAAGAAATAAGAATTTCAAATCTTGTAATAAAATATATTTTGAAGAAAGATAGATAATGCCTTGAAGTCAGCAGTTAACAAAACAACAAATCATTGTCATTGACAACTTATCCTGAATATAACTCAGATATTTGTTTTGACTCTTTATATTTGTGCTGGCTGAAATTTGAAGTAACATTCCAATATTTCAGACTGTTATTATCAGGGAGACTGTGTGCAGCCATGTGTGACCTTACCCCACACTTACAGCAGTGTATGATGGGAAGTGAACAAGTCTCTAGAATGGATAGGTAATAATGTTCATGATTTATTCAAATGCACAAAATATATTACTCCAACCTATGCCATCTGTAAATGTTCTTTTGTTGTTTTGATACATTATTTTGAGAGTTGTTGTTTGTTATGTTGTTTGTGTTATTTACTTAAAGTAACACCAGTGGTCAAAACTAACACATCTGCTGAAGCTAATAGATGCATAAATTCCAGTAATTCAAACATTTAGTCGCCTCTTACGGTCTTAAGAAAAATATATTAAATAATATGCCCAAATAAGTTAGAATTTTTATCAGTTTTCGTTTTGAACAGCAATAGTTGATAAAAATAATTGTATTGTTTTACTAGGTCTTTGTTAAAGAGGTCCACATCAGGAAGGCATGTTATAGGGAAACAAGAATCTAATGTCATCTGGGAGAATATTAAATCTCAACTCATAAAATACCAGCAGACTGCTTTCAGGTAAGTTATTAAATATACCAGGACACTTAATAACATAAGCCACTTAAAATATATGTACCAACAATCAGCCTTTTTGATTAGTCATATTGAAATATCAGAACATTATTCAATGTCTGTAGTTAATTTAAAACCCTATAAGGTATATGTAGGCTTCGTTTCATGGAAAGTCCTAAGTTAATCCGAAATCCTAGGACTTATGACCAACTTTAGAGAAAAAGATTTTGCACTTAAGACTGTTTCAAGTAACTGTTTTATCTTTTGTCGTAAACTTAAGACCTATGACCAATTCGCAGTTACAAAATACAACGGCACAGGCATAAACCGGCAATATATCAATATTTGTCTGCAAACAAATCAGGCGCAATTTAACTTGATATCGGGTATGGCAGCATTTTATTTGCTGATGTCATGTTAGAATCGAAATAAGTAATTATTGAATGGCACACCAGACATGTACACAAACATACTGTATTCTACTTCTTTAGGTCGACTAAACGAAGTATATGGAGAGCTGTCCTACTCGCCCTGGCGTCGGCGTCCAGATTTCAGATTAAAGTTTTGGTGCAGTAAAATATTTTTCACTATAACTTTTTCATTTCTTAAGGTATCAACTTCAAACTTCAAATATATGTTCCTTATCATCAACCACATCTTATGTAACAAGGTTAATAACTCTAGCACCAATATTTTTAGATTTATCTCCCCTTGAACTTAGAATTTTCCTTAAAAAATATCATTTTTAGCTCACATGTCACAAAGTGACAGGGTGAGCTTTTGTGATCGCTTTTCGTCCGGCGTCCGTCCGTCCGTCCGTAAACTTTTGCTTTAAAAGACATGTCCTCATAAACCACTGAGCCAATTTCATCCAAACTTCACAGGAATGTTCCTTTGGTGGTCACCTTTAAAAATTGTTCAAAGAATTTAATTCCATGCAGAACTCTGGTTGCCATGGCAACCAAAAGAAAAAACTTTAAATATCTTCTTTTAAAAAACCATAAGAGCTAGAGCTTAGATATTTGGCATGAAACATCTTCTCGTGAGTGTCTACCAAGTTTGTTCAAATAAAAGCCCTGGGGTCAAAATTGGCCCCGCCCGGGGGGGTCATTGATTTTTCCTATATGCATATAGTAAAAACTTAAAAAATCTTCTTTTAAAGAACCCAAAGAGCTAGAGTTAAGATATTTAGCATGAAACATGTTCTAATGGGTGTCTACCAAGTTTGTTCAAATAAAAGCCCTGGGATCAAAATTGGCCCCGCCCCTGGGGGTCATTGATTTTCCCTATATGCATATAGTAAAAACTTAAAAAATCTTCTTTTAAAGAACCGTAAGAGCTAGAGCTTAGATATTTGGCATGAAACATCTTCTAGTGAATGTCTACCAAGTTTGTTCAAATAAAAGCCCTGGGATCAAAATTGGCCCCGCCCCAGGGGGTCATTGATTTCCCCTATATGCATAAAGTAAAAACTTAAAAATCTTCTTTTAAAGAACCGAAAGAGCTTGAGCTAAGATATAAAGCATGAAACATCTTCTAGTGAGTGTCTACCAAGTTTGTTCAAATTAAAGCCCTGGGGTCAAAATTGGCCCCGCCCCGGGGGTCATTGATTTTCCCTATATGCATATAGTAAAAGCTTAAAAAATCTTCTTTTAAAGAACCATAAGAGCTAGAGCTTAGATATTTGGCATGAAACATCTTCTAGTGAATGTCTACCAAGTTTGTTCAAATAAAAGCCCTGGGGTCAAAATTGACCCCACCCCAGGGGGTCATAGATTTTCCCTATATGCATATAGTAAAAACTTAAAAATCTTCTTTTAAAGAATCCAAAGAGCTAGAGCTAAGATATTTAGCATGAAACATCTTCTAATGAATGTCTACCAAGTTTGTTCAAATAAAAGCCCTGGGGTCAAAATTGGCCCCTCCCCAGGGGGTCATTGATTTTCCCTATATGCATATAGTAAAAACTTAAAAAATCTTCTTTTAAAGAACTCAAAGAGCTAGAGCTAAGATATTTAGCATGAAACATGTTCTAATGGGTGTCTACCAAGTTTGTTCAAATCAAAGCCCTGGGGTCAAAACTGGCCCCACCCCGTGGGGGGGGGGTCATTGATTTTCCTTATATGTGTATAGCAAAAACTTAAAAATCTTCTTTGGAAAAACCCAAATAGCTAGAGTTTAGATATTAAGCATGAAACATCTTTAAATAAATATCTACAAAGTTTGTTAAAATAAACGCCGGGGGGTCAAAACTGGCCCTGCCCCAGGGGTGTCATTGTTTTTAACTATATGTGTATAGTAAAAACTTTAAAAATCTTCTTTTAAAAAAGCCAATGAGCTAGAACTTAGATGTTTAGCATGAAACATCTTCTTATGGGTGTCTACCAAGTCTGTTCAAATAAACAAATAAAAGCCCTTGGGTAAAAATTGGCCCGGGGGTGGGGGTGGGGGCCTATATACAGGTGAGCGACCTCAGGGCCATCATGGCCCTCTTGTTTACTGTAACTTCTTTATTACTTAAAGGATCAACTTCATACTTCAAATATATGTTCCTTATCATTAACCACATCTTTTGTGACAAGGTTCATAACTCTAGCACCAAGATTTTCAGATTTATCGCCTCTTGAACTTAGAACTTAGAATTTTCCTTAAAAAATAATATTTTTTACTGTAACTTTTTTATTACTTAAAGCTACATTAAATAAATATGTAAAAATATTTTGCCGTCGACCTAAAAATCAAGCATTTTACAGTATTATTAACCTGTTTAACAGTATTGTTGTAAATATCATCAAATATTGTTCATAAATTAGGATTTTAAACGGAAAACCCCACGGTAACACTTAAGTTTGTATCCAAATTTTAACATGCAAATGAAGATTATAATCAGCTTGTGTATGCGCTACGTCACGGTGTTATAGCTGTTATCCGGAACACAACAAATATGAGATTTTCTTGTGCAAACACATTTTAACCGTTTAACTTCACGGTGCATTAGGCCCGAGGTTCAGTAAAATGTAATCATCTCATAAAAACAGATTGAATTTGTATGAAAACACCCGTTACAATGCGAAATATACCCTTAAATTAGAACTGCTACTTTTAGTCATGTTTGTTGATTTAAAATTGATGTACGGATGATCTGAAGGGGGAGTTTCTCATGCAAACAGATATTGTACTTCCGAATTCGCCACAATGAGGTTGTCCATTTGTTATGCTTATAAAACTTATTTTTGTTGTCTGGACACAAAAAATAAGATCTGGAGTCGATATGAAACCCAATTTATTAATGAAATGTCGCTATTTCTGTTTTTATGAATTTTATTAAATGTAACTTTAAGGGATCAACTTCATACTTCATAAATATATGTTCTTTATCATCAACCACATCTTATGTGACAAGGTTCATAACTCTAGCACCAATATTTTCAGATTTATCTCCCCTTGAACTTAAAATTTTCCTTAAAAATATTTTTTTATGCCCCCACAATGTGGGAGCATATAGCGTTGCACTTGTCCGTCCGTCCGTCATTCCGTCAGTCCGTCCGTCAGTCCGTCCGTACGTCCCGAAATCTTGTGAACGCAACTCCTCTTAAACTGGATGGCAGATTTTGCTTAAACTTACAGGGATGAACAACCTTAATGTGTAGATGGTAGTAAAGGAAGGAATTTTCGCTGCGACCAAATTTAACAGAATTATGGCCCTTTGTTGATTTTTTCACTAGATACTATGTAGAAATTTTGTGAATGCAACTCCTCTTAAACCGGATGGCAGATTTTGCTTAAACTTACAGGGATGAACAACCTTAATGTGTAGATGGTAGTAAAGGAAGGAATTTTTGCTGCGACCAAATTTAACAGAATTATGGCCCTTTGTTGATTTTTTTCATTATATATTGTTTGGTTTTATTAACCTGTCAATTACATACTGATTACACGGTCGATGCACACAGTATATTAATCTTCGGTAGATTTTCCGTAAGTTCCGTGAGATGTACGTTGTACGATGGAATTTAATTTAATTTGTATATATAAAGTAAGTACACTCAGCGTTATAGCGCAATAGGGTAAAGCACGAGTTCATAATCTAACTGCCACACGTGTTTTAAGTTCGAGACCGCGTTGGTCCATGTTTTTTTTTCTTATTAATACTTTCAGCATTATTGATGCTATATATGATTATTTTATATTGTTCGTTTTGTTTTATTATGTTTTACTTAATTTTGTTATGTCTATACTCATTTAAATAACATGTTTTAAGAATTCATGTTAAAAAATTAAAACGGATTAAAATCAATAAATGTCTTTTCAATGCCGTAAAACACACTACAAATCTGTTCCATTAAAATATACTGCAAAAATAAAGAAAGAGTACTAGTGGCAACAGTAAGGATCGAACCACAGACCTCTCAATTATCAGGCATTCTCTTAACCGACTGTGCTATTGTGAATTAACGAAAACCTTCACATTAAGCTGGTGTGACTTTCAGTCCATGACTAATATACTCCACATTAATTCTCGTAAACTACACGGACCAAACCGAAGTGGGATCGAATATTTAAATGAGTCCTGTAATGTATTCATAATTGACAGGTCAATAAAATCAGACTATACTATGTAGAAATTTTGTGAACGCAACACCTCTTAAACCGGATGGCAGATTTTGCTTAAACTTACAGGGATGAACAACCTTAAGGTGTAGATGGCAGTAAAGGAAGGAATTTTTGCTTCAACCAAATTTTACAGAATTATGGCCCTTTGTTGATTTTTTCACTGTATACTATGTAGAAATTTTGTGAATGCAACTCCTCTTAAACTGGATGGCAGATTTTGCTTAAACTTCCAGGGATGAACAATCTTAATGTGTAGATGGCAGTAAAGGAAGGAATTTTTGCTGCAACCAAATTTAACAGAATTATGGCCCTTTGTTGATTTTTTTCATTATATACTATGCAGAAATTTTGTGAACGCAACTCCTCATAAACCGGATGGCAGATTTTGCTTAAACTTCCAGGGA